CGGGGCGGCGGGGATGCGCCCCGCGCCGAGCTGGTTCAGCTTCTTTCTTCTTCCGCACGGCCGGGGTTTCCGCTTCCCTCCCGGGCGCGGGGAGAGAGGGAGGCAGCCCGCGCCTCAGTCCTGCGCCGCCGCCATGTGGCCCCCGGATCCCGACCCGGACCCCGAGCCCGCGAGCGACTCCCGGGCCGGCGCCGCGGTCCCCGGGCTGCGCGCGCTGCTGCCGGCCCGCGCCTTCCTCTGCTCGCTCAAAGGCCGCCTCCTGCTGGCCGAGTCGGTGAGTGCGGGACCCTGCCCGGCGCCGCAGCCGCCCCGGACCCGCGGGGAGTTGCCGATGCCCCGAGTTTGGACGGCGTCGAGCAGAGGCGAGGCTGGTCCCGAACCCAGGGCTTCGCGGTTCTTCGGCCCACGAGGCCCAGATTAGGGGCCGCGGGGCGCGCGGCGGGGAAGCGGGACCCAGGCGTCCTCGGCCAGCGCTGAGACCTCGGGCGCGGCGCCTGGGGGTCTTCGGGTCGGTGGCCGGTGCCCTGCAGCGCACGGTGGGACCCGGAGAATCCGCCGCCCCAACGTCCGGGCAGGGTTCGCGCCCCCTACCCCGGGGATTGGGTGAGGCCAGGGACGCGGGCAGCACTGGCTGCAGGGGCGGGAGCCAGCGGGTGACTTCATCCCCCGCCCCACTCGGCTGCTTCCGCCTTCCCGCTCGCCCCCACGGCCGGGCCGGCCTTCTTTGTCCACTCCGAAAACTCCCGCACTGTAGCCTGTGGGGCGGGGACGGACGGCGGGCCTCAGGGAATGCAGAGGAGGAGGAGGCCGCGCGGAGGGGAAACGGGAGGAAGGACTGTCTCTCTGCGGCGGGCACTTGTGGCTTAGATCCCCAGCAACTGGACAATACCTGCCCTAATACCCTCTGGAGGGCTCGGGGATGGACAGAGACAGAGAAAAGGCAGGTAGAGGCGTCTAGGGGATTGAAAGGCTGCTCCGATGAGGGCCAAGGGAGAGCTAGGAGGAAGGCGGGTCACAGGAAGAATTCTGCCCCAGGACCTTGCATTGTCCCCCAGGGCAGAAGGCAGGAGGTGGTCTTGAAGTCACCAGCCTAGCACCTACTCAGCTCCCAAAGGAGGCAGCAGGTGGACCCAGAACCCAAAAGCCCAAGGACAGCCTCCTGGTTGTCACCCCTGCCCCACCTCAGAGACCTCTGGGAACCACTTTGGGGGAGAAACCCTAAATTCGCAGTCCACCCTAGGGACTCCAGCTGCACCCTTTCCAGGACCACCTTGTGGGAGGGGGTGGGGAGGCAGCCGGAGCAAAGAGGAAGCCCTTGGCCTGGCTGGGTGTCCGGAATCCAGGCCGGAGGAGGATGATCAAGGGACGAGGAAGAAGAGGCAAGGGATGTTCCACTGCAACAAGGGTGGAGGGACACCTGACATGGGCGGGAAGGGAAGCCCCCCTGAGAACTGGAGACAGAGAAAACAGGAATCATCAAGAAGGCGATACCCAGAATCTGGCTTTGATGGGGGTTGCGGGTGGGGACAGGAAGGGGAGAGACACAGCAGCCTTCAGCCAAGGAAGTACAGTCAGAAAGATGGACAGGGCTGGCCCTGGTCTTATGGCCTGTCTTCCTAGAGAGCCTCACAGCCTCCTGTCTGTCCAGCTGGGGGCTCAGCTATCCCCAAGACCATGTTCAAGGCAGCTGAGAGTCTCTGGGGACTCCCTACAATTCATTTGTCTAAAGCAGCCACAGAGCTTCCTGTGGGGCATCTGGGAGTCCCCATAGGGCACCTGCAGCCAACCCCTGGGCCCCACTCCAAGCTACTCAGCCATGGACATGCTTACAGAAACCAGGGTAGATGAAGGCCTCCAATCGCCCACAGGTCAGCGTGTTCTGGGTTCAAATTCTGGTGCCCACTTACTAGCTGTATGATGCCATGTCTGACCCTCTATAAAGAAGAGCTGTGAGTAGTGGCTGGGCCACGGATGGTAGTGACCATCAGGGGAGATACCCACAAGCCTCAGCAGGCACAGGGTACAGCAGAACCGTCCTCTTGGTCTGCAGCCTCAGGACCCCTCCATCCACAGCATGTGCATGTGAGCAGGACTGCAGGCAAGTACACCCAGCCCCACTTCTGATGGTGGCTGTGCAAGTGATGTGCCACTATCCCCTTTCTTGGATAGATTTTTCTTATTATGCAAATTTGCAAATAAATGAAAGGGCTGAAAGACTGGTATCAATAACACCCATACACCTACCTGTTAGATTGTACAGTGGTTAACACTTTGTTGTATTTGCTGTATCGTCTGTCCATCAATCTATTTTATGTTTTGATGCCTTCAAAGTAAAGCGCAGACATCAGTACAATTCATGCATATGTATTTCAGCATTCTTATCATTACCTAAAGTGTAAGATTTTGGCTGAGGCAGGAGGATCTGGAGTTTGGGCAACTTAGTGACTTAGTGAGACCCTCTCTCAAAATAAAAGATAACAAAGAACGGGCGACATGGCTCAATGTGAAAGGCACTAGCTTCAATCATCAGTACCAAAAAAAGAAGTTTTTGTTTTTCAGGTAAAATTTCCATTCAGTGAAAAACACAAATCTTAGGTGTTGTGTGTTACTTTTTTTATTTTAAAAGGTGAAAGATTTATAGGATCTGAAGAGAAACAAGAGTATACCTTTTTATTTTAAAAAGAATAAAAAAATAACAACAACATAGACAAAAACAAAACAACACAAAAACAATAAAAATGATACAGGGTTTCAAAACAAAATGATAGGAATTAACAGTGGTTGTTATATTACATATTGTTATCTTCAACAAAGTTGCTCAGATTACCAGATGTAAGAATGCAAGATTGATCAAACCATGCACTGAACTAAAGTCAAACTGGATCAAAGATCTAAATATTAAAAGAAAAACACTAAATCTCCTGGAAGAGAAAGTAGGTAGAAATCTTGAAGTCATGGGGTAGGCAGAAAGTTCATGAACAAAAACCAAACTGTACAGGAAATACTTCAAAGAATCAACAACTGGGATCTCATCTTATTGGAAAGTTTTTGCACATCAAAAGAAATCACCAACAGGGTGTTACTTCTTGAAACTGGTTGCTAGTTAGCTTTAGTTTGCCCCTAGTTGGCTCTGAGTTGGGTGAAGTGACCCATAAAGCCAGTAAGGGGGAGGGGGGCAGGAATGGTGGTGGTGGTTGGGGTGAGCAGCCCCAGGGAGTGGCCTCCCAACAGGGCTGGATAAGTTTGGGAGGCTGGGGCTTCAAGAGTGAGTCCTGTGTGGATCAGGACTCCGAGCCATGCCCAAGATCTGGGGGCAGCATGGATGTAGGCCTGGACCGCATGGCAGCTTTCATACCAACTCTGTCACTTCTCAGCTGCAGTACTAAGCAGGTAGCACCTCTAGCTGGAGTCTCCCTTGTTCCTGAGGGCAGGAAGAGGCTCTGACTCTCCCTGGCTTCCCCACAGGGTCTCTCCTTCGTCACTTTCATCTGCTACGTGGTGTCCTCAGCATCCGCCTTCCTCACAGTGCCTTTGCTGGAGTTCCTGCTGGCCCTCTACTTCCTCTTTGCTGATGCCATGCAGCTGAATGACAAGTGGCAGGGCTTATGCTGGCCCATGATGGTGAGGACCAGGAGACCCACGAGGAAGGGGCTAGCTGTAGTGATACTCATCACTGATTGGCAGATGAGAAATCCAGAGTCCTGCATATGGCCCTGACCTCTCTCCAAAGCGCTGGAGGGGCAACCTGCTGCTGGTAAACTGATAATCCAGGCCTGCCCCACTGGCTCTGGTAGGACCCGGAGCAGGAAACCTGGAGATGGCCCTTGGCCACCAGGTGGCACTGTTCCCCCCTCAGCAGGGCCTTGGCAGAATGAGCCCCAGCCACAAGAATTCCAGCCATTTCCAGCCACAGGGCAGGTTAACTGAGGACCTGCAGGGCTCACCTAGACCTCAGCCATCAGGCAACCGTGGCCTTTTTTATCACTTGGAGGGCCCCACAGCCCTGCCAGTGACCTCTGCTGAACAGACTGTGTCAGAGCAGAGGCAGCAAAGGCTGGACTTGAGCCCTGGTCTCTTGAGTTTACCTCCAGCATCCTTGCTCCTAGCTAGGCAGGGCTGTACCCTCTGTTCCCATTTGGGGGATGAGTAAGGAGAAAGACTGATCTGTAAGTGAATCGGCCAGAAGTGTGTGGCAGTGGGGCCCAGGCCCTGGACTCCTTGTCAGACAGGCAGGAGCTGTGACTGGGTTCCCAACTCCCACTTCGCCACATAGGCCAAGCCACAAAGCAAGCTGCAGGCTGGTTTCATTAGTTGTCCACAGGCTGAGGCTGGCAGCCTACCTGGACAAGGGACAGGTCAGCGCTAGCTGCTGGCAGTCTGTGGGTCCACAGGAAACTCACAGGGGTGGGAAAGAGCCAGGACAGGGTAGGAGTCTATGGACGCTGAGCCTGGGGCCGTTCCAGAGCTCAGGGCACTGTGGCCATGCCCTTCTCTCCCCAGGACTTCCTGCGCTGTGTCACTGCTGCCCTCATCTATTTCGTCATCTCCATCACAGCTGTCGCCAAATACTCGGATGGGTCTTACAAAGCAGCCGGGGTGAGCAGCTTCCTACCCTACGGAGGGGCTGCCCAGCAATGTCCCCCTTCTCGAGCTCCAGATGCTCCTCGGAACCCTCCTTTAGGTTGGGACCTGGGCACATGCTTTCTGCTTTGGGTGCCTGGGCACCCGACCGGGATGCAGCAATTGCGGAGATTTACTCAGGGCCCTGAGTTTTGAAAGGCTGGCTGTCAAACCTGGGTCACTGCTCATTTCCCTTTCCTCAGAAGGGCCGTGCCCACACAGCCAGCTCTGAAAGGCCGCCCTCTCCCCATGCAGCCTCCTACACCTCGAACCGGGGACTTTTGGTGATGTGCCCTGCCCGGTGTTCCCGGCCACATGCTCTGCACATGTTCCACAGGTTTTTGGCTTCTTTGCCACCATTGTGTTTGCAGTTGACTTCTACTTGATCTTCAACCAAGTGGCCAAATTCCTCAAGCAAGGAGACTCTGCTGGCACAGAGGAAACCACAGCCCACAGGGCAGAAGGTAGGTGGCCGCCCTAGGTCTTTCTGCCAGGGAACCCAGCTGATCACTCCCAGGACTGCTGCAGGGGCCCCGCCCTCCCCTGGAGACACTTGGCCCCCAGGGAGACACCTAAGGCTGGGAAAGGGACAGTATCCCTTAAGGTGGCCAATCACAACGCCAAGCTGTCCTTCCCAGGAATGCCAAGCTAGGTTCATGCACGCTGAGTGCCTCTGACCCTGCAAGGCTCACTTCCTGGACAAGACCTCAAGACAGCCAGTCATTCTCAGGATACTGGTCCACCTGGCATTTAGAGTGACCACTTGCGTGGACCCAGCTTCCCCTGCTGTCCTGCCTGCCCAGGGTCCAAGGGCCAGAAAACCCATGTGATTACCTTTTCCAGGCAAAACCCATGTGATTACCTTTTCCAGGTTTCCAGGCAAACCCAGGTCCACTCAGCCTCATTTTACTTTTACTTCCAAGGAAAAAGCAACAGATATTCTAGCCCCTCATTCTGCTCAGAAAGGCCAGTGCATGTTCTCTTGATGTTAAAAAACAAAACAAAGCAAAACAACTTCAAAGTTGAAAGGGTGGCGTTTCTGTGTGTGACAACACAGCCACATCAACTGTTACATCTTTGGAGGGCTTGTACCTTACACAGCACATGTGGCAGGAGCCCTGCACGGATTTGTCAGGAGTCTCCACAGCTGGTTTGGAGCTGTGGCCTATCTTAGTCACACCCTGGGAAGACCCCAGAGTAGCAGGTCCAGAAGGGAAGAAGGGTAGAACAGGTGGAGGTACTGATGTGTGCCTCCCCCTCCCGGGCTCTAAAGCCTATTGGTACTTCCCTGCCCTACCCTCGCTGCATTTCCAGGTAGACTTTAAACAGAAATTGGTGCTGTCATTGGCTAGCAACTCAGATCTTGCTCAGCATTAAATTCATCCCAGCCTGGTGTCCCTGTGCCTTCCTGGGCTCTTGTGTTACTCCTGCTGAGTCCACCCTGTGCTAGGCATCAGGAGTGCAAAAACAGGCAGGGTCTACCCTGGGGGAGCTCACAGCCCAGACTGGAGTTAGACCCTGAAGCAGAGTGGTTGGTGCTAGCAGGTTGTCAGGGAAGGTCACCAGGTGAGATAGTAATGATGAGAACAAAGTGGGAGCTAACACACAGGGATAAAGCACTTCCGGGTGAGAATAGCCCAGGAGCCTTGGGGGCCTGGCCCCTGGGGAAGGGACATGTGGGCTTCAGTCTAGGGAGGATAATGCCCTGCCCCCAGCCCCAATACCTGGAGGTGAAAGTGGCCTCCTGTGGAGGGTCCAGGCCCCATCTTCTCTCCACCAGCAGATGCCTGTAATGACAGAATCTATAGAGTCAGCTGCAGGAGAGGCTGGGCTCGGCTCCTGCCAACGCTCCCCTGGCAGTGCCTCCCTAGAGACTGTCCCCAGGCATCGCTGCCTGGAGACTCCTGCCTGCCATCCCCCATGCTTTTCTTTCAGAGGAGAATTCCGACTCCGACTCTGACTGAGGGCCTGCTCACCTGGCAACCTGAGCCACCTGGGGCTCTGGCACCTGCACCTTCCTGACACAGCTGCTGGAAGCCTGGCCAGGGACACTGTGTGATGGGGGGAGGCTGCCCACCTGGGCCTTCCCACAGGTTCCATCCTCAGCCCAACATTTAAGACTGCACCCTCTGGCTTGGCACAGCTAACCCACTCCGTGTGCCGGACATCTTGGATACCCTACTTCTCCCCTTTTCTGTCACACAGACCTTAAGCCCTTTAACCCTGCTGCCAAGATCAAGAATGGGAATACAACAGCGGGCCTCAGTATCCAGCCTGCCACACCACACAGCTTGTGCTGCAAGGTTGGGCAGGGTGGGGGACGCCTGCGTCTCACTAATAGCCCCTACAGTCTCTTCTGCATGGGTGCCACTGCTTATGCTGGCACTTTTTGAGTACAACACTTCTAGGAATCTTGGTTCCAGGAGCAAAAGCAGGGAGAAACTGACCTTGACCTTACTGTCTAGGCATGGGTCTCAGCACCCACACCTGACACCTCACACCCCAGAAACCACATCTTCTTCAGATGAGATGACTAGTCTGGGTCTAAGACTATTTCAGAGAAGAGCTCATAGACTCACTGGCTAGGGCCAGTAGGCAGAGGGAGCCAGTCAGTGACTGTGGCTCGGCAGCTGGGCGGGCCCAGCTAAGCCTTTTCCTCTTCCTGAAGGCCAGAGTTCTCAGGATCCTGAAGGCCATGTGCTTCCTTGTGGATACCAACCGCCTCCTGAGAGATGAGACAAGCCTTCTGCATCCACCTAAGGACTTATATTTCTTATGTATCTTTGATAGGTTTTGTAGCTTTTTATAGTTGTTTTTTTATATATATATACACACAAAAGCAGCTTAACAAATGATACTTTCTGTGACCGAAGAGGCCCTATGAATGAGCCGGAGTTCTGGGCCCATGTTTTGGGCATTTGTTACTTTATTCTTGCATGTGAATCTCCTACCCTGAAAAAGCCATAATGGATTAAACCAGACTGACTACCTACCTGAAGTGTCTGATTGTAAGAACCCTTCCGACACCCAGAGCAATGATGTGCAGGATCGTATCACAGTTCAGCACAAACGAGTAACACATACAGACAGAATCCTAACAGCTCTTCACTTTCAGCAACAGGGCACACACACACACACTGCATGCCCGGGACTAGGGTAAGCATCTGATCAGTGCCTGATTCTTTTATTTAATCCTGCAGTCAAGGAAACAGAGACACAGTAAGTGACCAGCCCAGGGCCCTCTCATTTACACATCAGGACTATGTCCCCTGGCAACCAGAACCTAGAGCTTTTGTGGTTTGCAAACTGGTTGTACAAGAAACCTCAAGGCTGCAGCCTGGGAGAACCCTGCTCAGTGTTCTGCTCAGGAGAGCGGGGAAGAGGCAAGGCCTTTCCAAGTGGTGCACATTGCTGCAAACATTAAAGCTGCATGTCAAAAGCCAAGAGAGGCACAGGGTAGAGTTTCTGTCTGCTCATCAGCCCAGCAGAGCTATCATGGCGGCCTCGGTGCAGTCTGTGGACTCTAGCTCTTGCAACTTCCACAGAGCAAGCCTGTTTCAGAACCTGGGACCGTAGCCTTTGGCGAGGCAGAGAAAAGAGACGATAATATTTTTACATGTCCATTTATTAAACAAGAACTCCTTCATGACAATTTAATACAATATTTATTAGTGATTAGTGTTGAGAAAATTATTTCCCTCTACATACAAAAATACAGATTTAACACTATGAAAACAATCAGGACAAGTACCATGAAAAATTGATCCTTCGAAAGAAATAAAGGGGAAGACTGAGGGCAGTATGAGGCTTTGTCTGCTGTCAGGGACAAATCAACAGGTGCGAACACTTTGGGGTCCCCATCCCAAATGTACAGGGTCAAACCTGAGAGCCTGTCAGAGCAGGAGGAGGCCCGTGGCACAGCGGCATGTCAGTGTGAGCGGTCAGCAGGGGAGCTCTGCCCCACAAACCACATGCCAAAGTCTGCCCAATGCCCATTACCTCGGAATGCTCACAGCTGTGTCTCTGAACTGCCAAAAGAAACAGATTTTTCAGACACAAAGTATGGCAATTCTTAAATTCACACTGCCCTGAAAAGTTCCACTAGGTAAAGTACCAATAAGTGAGCCTATCAGAAAGTTAGGACTTAGCTGTCTGACTGCACTTTCTCTGTTATCACAGAATTACATGTTGACTCTTCAGAAGGACAAAAAAAAAAGTGCTATAATTTCACGGTTCAGTAAATCCATACTTTCCTTCCACAATGGCTCAGTTTACCCAAGAATTCCTTGACCAGACACAACTTAGCCTGCAGGGCTAGATAAGCAGAGGGAGCTGCTCAAGTCTGGCTATGCCTTGGTTCTATCCAGCTCCTCATAGGAGAGCACCTATTGCATTCGGGCCTAAAATCTGGACAGGGCCACAAGTCCACCCTGAGCATCCATAACCCACCTGAAATCGAACTGCATGGCACGGCTGCTCCAGGAAGCAGGGAGCACTAGGCCAATCCTGGAAGATGCCAGACCAGACAACACCTTGAAGTCCCAGGGAGAACAGGGCAAGGAGCCAGGTGCAGGCTTTCCACAATTTCACACCCAACAAAGGGGAAGTCACCATGGACAACAGGCTTTTCTCTCCTTTTTCAATATAGAACAGCTTTTACTGTTCAAGGTGAGCAGTGGCTCTTGAAACTGAGCAAATGGTTAAACAATGCCAAGTGCAATTATACTGACTCATACTTATTTCACAGAAATATACTTTTACTCTCAGACTATTTAAATAAGCAGAAACAAGATGTAGGGGTGAATTCAACAGAGAGATGAGAGTAGCCAGGGGATTTTTTGTGGTGGTTTTTATATTTTCTTCTTGAAAATACGAATTTTAAAGGGAAAATGGCCCAGATCACAAGACCAGCATTGTTGAAAGCAATATTAAAAGGACACAATCTACAAAAATAGTGTTATCTGTTTTAACTAAATGTACATCTTCTTTTCCAATTCTATGATTGACAAGAGTGCTTATGTGACACACAGAAGGCACCAAAGGTGAAGTGATTATTTGTCTTAAAATATACAAAGACAGAACTGCCTACTATGAAAAAAACAAAACAAACCAGTCAAACCTGTAATAAATAGTTTAGTATTTCTGCTATGGGTTCCTGAACCCCTACAAATTTCAACATATACAAATAATTTTAATCTCTACCATTCTCTTAGAGGGAACCATGTCAAAATCAAGTTATGAAAAGCACTGATTTTATGCAAATAGCTCAATTCATCATGATTTGAAAACTCATTCAATGTGCTGTGAATGAAAGAGCTGGAAGCAGGGGGCTCCTCTGTGGGCCTGGGTCAACACGGGGACTGTCCAAGGCATTGTGCCCTTGCCCTCCCCAGCCCTGGGACCAGCCCATTCTCCTTTAATGCTTTTCTTCCTCATTTCCACAGAGAAGGAAACAGAGTCATGAAACCTGCAAAGTTAGTTCTGGAAAAATCAGGAAAATAGGGCCAGTGGAGGGAAGAGCCAACAGTTAGGCCTGGCATAGTCTCGTGTAGACACAGGTCTCCCAGATGTTTTTCATGTTCTGACCATTCCTCTGGAGTCTTTCCTGATTAAGAGGAGGTAACGTCCTATTGGCTGTCAGTAGCAGTTTCCAAAGACAACTCAGATTTGATAGTTTCAGACTGGTACTGAAACCCACATAAATCATCATCAGGATTTTTGTTTCATACAATCTCTTTTCAGGAACAACTATGAAAAGAAACTCTAGGACTTGCCCTAACTCCCATCAACAAAGCTGCTCTAGATGGTTTCAGACGTTTTTAACATAAATACCAGAACCATAAAAGCACTGATAGCTCACCAGTCAAGCAGTATGAACCCTTAACCAAAGTTTGTTCACCTGAATTAAAGTCTCAGCATATAAAGTGTAGGCAGCAAACTAACGCACTGAAATATGTACTCTATTCAAAGGCCGGTAATCTAAACTTTATTCTAAGCAAGTTGCCAGTGTTAAGGTCAGTGGACTTGTATGTCATTTTTTTTTTCTTTGCTGTTATGTTTATGGAATAAGAAAAAGTAGAATGAAAACAATCCCAAAGGTTGAAAAAAATGTGTCCAAATGGAAAAACATATCTTTAAGACAAGGGAAAATACAGGACCTTTTCTGTTTTAAGCCTAAAGCATATCCACATGCTATTTATTGGCATAAAGAAAAGTCCAACAGAACGTTCACTTTCAGAAGAAAATTCTTCTAGATCTAACAAACTAAAGGTATTTTTTTCTAAAACAGAGGAAACAAAAGGTTTCTAAATAGAGCAAACATAAAAGGTCAAATATTTCAAATTATTTTCCCAACCAGGCAAATCTTATGATTGAAAAGATATCTAAGAGAAGAAACAAGATTTACAGAATCAGGACTGACAGAATCAGGAAGATTTACGAAGTGCAAGGGTGGCCCTTCCGGTCTGTGGCCTGCCAGGACCTAAGCTAGTCAGTCACCTGCTGAGACCCAGACTAGATGCTACCTGGTCCCAGCGTTCAGCTCTTGCCCTCAAGTTGATTTGGGAACACAACATCTCACTTTTCTACAGACAAGAATATAGACAGTTAACCGAGCACATGTTTCCACAGTAGCGTGGGGTTGTAAACACATCTAATGCCATCGGCAGCCTCCTCCCTTCTCCTCCTCACCTTCCCCCAGCCCCTGTGTAGACCTCACCTGCCCACTGAGCCCCTACAGCCTAGGATGGATGCTGATAAAACAGACCCAGGGAAGAAAGAAACCCTGGATACTGAAACTTCATGACAAACCAAAAAGGTGCTTGGAGACCTCCATAAGCTAGTAATTCGAGCTGGATGCAACTTTTTCTTTTGTCTTTTTTTTGGTCTTTCTGAGACAGGGTCTCGCTATGCAGTTCAGGCTGGCCTTGAGCTCACTCTGTAGCCCAGGCTGGCCTCGAACTCACAACGATCCTCCTGCTTCAGTCTCCCAAATGCTGGGATTACAGGGGTGCGCCACCACGCCTGGTACCTTTCTCTACTCATGAGAATAAATGAGTAGCTCTTGGGTTAGCAAGCGTGTTCCTTTTCCTACTACTTATTCAAGGTCATTATTATTCTGTAGACAAGATACAGAGAAAGTGACAACCAGGTGGTGGCATGACTTCATGGTGACTTTGTTGTGAACGTGGATGACGTAGCAGGAGTCCCCTACATTATCACTCAATTTGCCACTGTATCCACACTCCATTTCTGTTAGGACAGTTTCTAAGATCGACCCAGAGGAAATCTGCCACAGGTGGAGATTAGCACCTTGTCCATCTCTGGGAGCGCATGGATAGGTGAGGGGTGTCCTCCAAACAGTGCATGTGAATCTAAGAGAAGAAGTGAGCTTGGGCCACACAGAAGGGTTATCCAAGGGTCACTCATGGCAAGCAAGACCTCACATACATGTACAGACAGAAGTTAGGGCTTTGTCTCCTCAGAGGCTGTCTGTGGCTTACCAAAAGTCTGAATCACTAAGAAAGCTTCACAAAGGCAAACAAAACTGCAAACTTGAAGAAACCAGGAATGTTTACACCTGAGCCTTGAAGCTGTGGCTAGAAGGATCCAGCACACTAGAGGCCAGACATACCCAGCCTGCCCACAGGCATGTGCCTTCAGGCAAGAGGACAATAATGGCGTCCCCATGCCACGCCCTCAGAGCCTGGCTGGTCCTTGCTGGTTTCCCGGTGGCTGGGCTCTGCACACACCAGCTCTTCAGCTCACTGGGCTAAGGCAGACATAGCAGTGGAAGTGAGCAGGCTACTGTGTTCTTGCTTTTTTTGTAAACAAGCAATCTGCCTTGGACGGCTGATTACTTTAAATCAAACTTTTCTAGTCAGATTTTAGTCTGTAACCATGTTTGCCCTTTCTAGGGGACCAACAGGTGTCTAGATTTTCATGACTGCAGTATCTGTGTGTGAAAGGGAAAGGATTTTGCCTCCTCTGTACCTTCAGCAAAATGAAGAGAGGGTAAGGTGAGTCATCGGGGAAATACACAGCCAATCAACCAAATCACTGCCAAAATAAACTTTCGCAGAAGCTGGCAGTGTTTGTATCCATCCAAACCACCAGAGGTCCCACCAAATCCTGGAAGGCTTTAGCCTGCGTGTGCACAAACACTCCAGGATGGACACAGCACCTGTGGTTCCTTCAAGTTTTGCTCCAACTTCTGTGAAAGCCAATTCACCCCACCAGAACACTGAGAAAACTGAAAAACTAAGCCTCAGCCTTAAAATGCCCCAAACCTAAGTGACATTAGTCCACAGTGGATCAACTAAATGCAAAAATACATTTCCTTCAATTTGCAAGGAGGTCATTTTAATCTAGACTGTCTGCTGTTTGCACACGGAGGAGACAGAAGAAAAACACGGCGCCTTACATTCATAGCAGATGACCATATTCCCTTCATAATTTTTCCTCTCTGTCTGTACACTACACCAATCAGACTATACAGATCACTTCCGGTTCTAGTGGGAGCTAATTAAATAGTACAAGGAAATACATTTACAAAAACCATGGGGAAGCCTCATGGCACAAAGGATATTAAATAGTTACAGGGACATAAATAATTCTAAAGAGTCTATCACTAAGATGCAAATTAACACCTAAACCTCCCTGGGCATGAGACATCATCACTTTTTATCATCCCTCAGCATTTGTGGTCTTGATGGGCCTCAGAACTAATTCTTTCCACTGACAATGCATCCTCAGAAGACCAATCAATGGTTTCCTTTCACCGGATAATAAGTTGGTTTTATTGAAGTGACTCAGGAAAACTTGGGCAACAGTCTTGCCTGAATGATATTCTTCTTTCACTCTTACTTCAAAGGTGGCTTCTATTGAGTCCAAGTAACTCGACTCCCAGCAGATTTCTGATAAAGTTCAGGGTGGTCCTTCCAAGTGGGCTCCATCTGACGCAAGGCTAAGTCTTTGTGCCCTATTTTAAACGGAATGCTCAGAGGACAATAAGCCCTATTTTAATTATGTAGACACAGTCACCAAATGCACAATAAATATGTAAAACTAAGACATAAAACCCAGATGTCTTCAGCTCCTTCCACATCACCACATACAACAGGTTCAAAGTCTGTAAAGCATGCCAGAGCTAACTCACGACCAAAGAAGGCTCTGTCAGCCCCATGCCCTGCTGTGACCAGGCCAGGCCACCCTCTGTGGGAAGAGGGGAGAAGAGTTACCACCAGACTAATGGGTCAGTTCCTAAGGCAGCTGTGCTTGAGCATGTGACCTGGGCTCTGCCCAGGAAGGGCTGCAAGAGAACTGGATTGTGCTGGGCATTGAGACAAGGGGCTAACTCCTGACCCTGGCCCTCAGACCTGACATGCCACCACTCCTGTGGAATACCCAGCCCAGTAACACTACCTAACCAACACCCCTCTCCTCCCTGTTAAAGCAGACACTGATCTTTCCTGACACACACCATGCACAGGGGACACCTCTTCACACTCTCCTGCCCCCTCCTCTGCACCATATCCTACACAGTACACAGCTAAGACTGTAAGTGGTCCTTAGTACAAGACGTCAAGATTTTCCAGACTCTGCAAGATCTTCCCACCAGCGGAGTCTTTTCCTTGATAAGGGCTAAACACAAAACATTAGAGCTACAACGACGTCTGTAAACATTAAAGCAGTTCAAAATGTGAAAACCTGGCAAATCATAACAATTTTTCCATGAAAGATATAATTAGTCTTTTAACAACAACCACCACAACAAAAAACTACAGCATTCTAGGGGCTCATTTAACTCATTCATCACAAAAAAATAATCTTCACTTGATCAACAATCAATCAAAAACCTAAGTAACTGGGATTTTCCCCAACAACCTCCAGCACTGGTGTTCATTGTAATGATGCTCAGGCACCCAAATTGGTAAATGGTACCTTCTGACACATCAGAGGAAGGACATGTCCTGGTATAAATTCAAGTATTTTTAAACCCTAGACAGATCTATTTGGAATCATTTTAAAATTTTTCTCAGGCATTAGAAAATTAGCATACACCCCTAAAACAGAGGTGTGTTTGTGTGCCCTGATTTGTAACATACACACACAAACACACTCCGATACGTGGCCCAAGAAGACAGCAAACAGGCAAGTGCTTTGGCTGGTGGAATGGACTGTGTTTCTTCTGCGGCTGTTACCTGAGAAGGTAAAATTACAGAAACTCCGCAATTCAGCCTCAGAGTGTTTAGGGTAAACAGGAAACTGTCAAACAAGATGGTCCCTATATTCTTGGAAAAGAATCTGGGACTCAGGAAGGTGATTCATTTGAGGAAGAACCAAGTGATTTCTCAGCAGGGTAGGAAAAAAGGGTAACCTTCCTGTGAGTCAGGGGTCTCATGGAATTGTCCCACAGGACACCAGCTTCTCCTGTCCCTGCAATATTCAGGCCCAGCAAAGAAATCCACCAGCACATCCAATGCGAAGATCCTCAGAGTCCCAGGGACTTTCAGGCCATTCTGGTTGCCTTGATGCCCTGGACATGGAAGACAAGGAAGGTGGGACCCGCAGCCAGACTCAACATGCACCCAGAGCACACCATGAGGCTGCCGAACTGTCCCAACCCTGCGCCTTCATTTCCTGATGTCTATTTTCCCCTTCTTAGCAGCCCTGTGTAACCCAGCATCTTGACTCATCACAAATACATGTGACAGCGTGGCGGATGGGTCAGACAGTTGGCTGCTCCTGTGGCTGTCCAATACTAGAGGACATGGGCCTCTCCAGCCTACCACAGACCCACCCACAGGGCCACGCTGAACAACTTTTCCCAAAGTGAACTTTTACCGAAGAGGACAAAATTCAGCTGAGTCACATGAAAGTCTCATGAGTGGAGGGAAAGAATTTGACCAGAAGGATGGGCACAAGGGCTGGAGGGAGGTGGACTCCGGCAGGACCTCATGTGTCCAGGCGCTGGATCTCAGGGCGACTGTCCACATCTCTGGACTCAGTGCGGGCTCGGATGTAGTCGTTGGCGCTCTGCTGGCGGATGCTGACTCTCCATTTCTGTACGGCCAAGAATGTGCTCACTGCATAAGCTGCTGTCGCCAAGAAGCCAAATATCTAAAACACACAGGCAGAATTAGCCTTGGGCAGGTCACTTGGCTGTGGTGGCTTCCAAGACCTGAGCTGTGTGAGTCCCTTCTAGCTGTACCCCCAGTCCTTCTGGATACAGAGGTCTCACACCCGGCTGAGGTTGCAGTCATGTGACCCACAGAAACTCCCGCTTGACCTGAAGACAGCCTAGTGCTGCGTATCTTTTTCAGTGTTTTGGATCCATTTTTTAAAAAAACTAATCATAAAAGTACCTCTTACTAGAGGCACCTTCATAACCTCTCATCCTGGACATGCAAATAGAACAGACAAATATAATGTAGAAAGAATATTAAAATGTCATACATGACCTCCAAATCAAGCCACAGGGCTGACATTCCAAACCCATCCCCTGCACCTGCGCCCGTCCCCTGGGCAATGCCAGGTGAGACGCAGCGGGGCTTGGGGGTTAAATATTTGGTCAGGTTTCATAAATCTACTGAGTGGCACTGGCAGATCAACTAGCTCAAAAATTTTAAAAACCTTTTAATTCATGTTTTTTATAAATGGAAGCAACAGAAATGCAGAGAACAGGGAGTGAATGGCTTCTATTATCTGGTCAACCCCTCCTCTCCACCTCAGCCCCAGTGGCCAGTAAAGAGCTGAAGGAGGATGAGCAGGGCACATGAGAGGGCAGAGGACAGCAAGTCACAGAGGTGCGAAGTCAGCCCGCATCTTCACCATTCAAGGTTGCTTACCATGGCAGCAATTTCGGCTCCGGTTTTGTGGTTTAGAGCAGCCAGTACAATTGAGGCAATAAAGAAAAAGAAAGTGCTGAGTCCAGTGTTGACCAAATCCTAAACAAAAAGATAAAAATAAGACCAATGGAAAAGAATCATTCTAAAAACAGCTGAACTTTCAAAATAAGATCCACATACCCAACTTCCAATACCTCAGTCTTGATGTCACAGGGGCATTGGTACTACAAGGAACACCAGAAACAATGTCTATGATGTTACTGGGCAAATCATACTGCAAAATCAACATTTTAACCTACCACATTGCCAGTTCTCTTAAACAGCAACCAAAACTGGTAACACTAATAACTGTTTAGAGTTCTTATGTCTTTTTATTTTTTTTTTTATGGTGCTGAGGATCAAACCCATGGCCTCTTGATGCTAGGTAAGCACTGTACCACTAAGCTATGTCTCCAGCCTTCTAGTTCATAAGATGCTCATGTCACCTTCGATGGGCAAAGTGTCAGAGTCCCAGTGTTCTGACGCTGGTGCAGTCCCCCACCACACTCTGCCTTTATGTGACCTGTAAAGCACACTATTTTCATACACTGAAAACACTTTCTCATAGTATTTTAAACTTTTGCATTGCTAAAGCCTAGATTTCTTCCTTAACTTCTTGCAAAGCAAATGAGGTTATACATCCAATGTTTCAGAGTCCCAACTCTTGTCTTACTTGTGGAAGAAACATAGCACACTGATTAAAAGTCACAGCCACACTAAGTGAGGAAAGGGGGTTGGGGTGGAGACAGGGTCCCCCAGCCAGCAGGACTTACATGACATAATTTTCTGGAAAACCATTTCCCAAAAGATAGCAAAAATTCTGAAAAGGTTCATGATATACTTAGAAATTCATCTTAAGTACTAGCTGTAAGCATAAGGATGTTCTTTATGACATTATTTAAAATAGCTAGAAGCAAAAAAGCTGTAAGCATAAGGATGTTCTTTATGACATTATTTAAAATAGCTAGAAGCAGCCAGGCGTGGTGGTGCACACCTGTAATCCCAGCACTTGGGAGGCTGAGACAGGAGACCACAAGTTTGAGGCCAGCCTGGGGTACAAAGTGAGCTTAAGTCCAGAGTAAACTGTTCAGTGAGAACCTTTCTTGGAAAGTAAGTAAAGTAAAGTAAAGTAAAAAAGTAAAGTAAAAAATAAAAGTAAAGTAAAGTAAAAGCAAAAGTAAAAAAGAAAAGAAAGAAAGAAAGAAAAAAGCTAGAAGCAAACAAAATACTCAAAAATAGAGGATCTTGTTAAATAAAATGGAATTTCCATGGTGGCAAATAATGCAGTCATTAAAAATAATCAAGTGGTTTTATATTCAACATGGAAGAGACCTGTAATAATTTAAATGAAAAAGCATGAGTTTTTTTGTGTATGAGACAGTAGTACTGGGGATTGAACCCAAGGCCCTACACAAGCAAGGCAAACTACACTGAGCTACGTCTCCATCCCCTGCATGGCTTTAATGGCTCCACTGTTCTCCACTCATACATCACAACATAAATGCATATATGAAATAACAATCTGGAGAAATACAAGGATTTATACTCATATATTTAAACATGAAGTTTAATCACAGTGAAATCTTAGAACATTTCAGCACATCAAAAACAAAAACAAAAACAAACCCTCATACTCATTGGCAATCATTCTCCTACCCCAATCCTAGGTAACCACTAATCTGCTTCCTGTCTCTGGAATTGCCTATGTTGGATATTTCATATAAATAGAATTATACAATATGTTGTCTTTTATTGCTGCTTATTTCATTTAGTATAATGATTCTAAAGTCTATTCCTATTGAGGCTTGTATCAATACTTCGTTCCTTTTCATTACTGAACAATATTTCATGGTGCAGACACACTATTTTAAGTTACTTTTCTTGTTGCAGAGACAAAATACCCAACACCCAAAGTTAAAGGACAAAGCTTTATTTCAGCTCATAGTTTGTCAAGGTTTCAGTCCATAGTCAAAGCAGGTTCCAAAGCAGGGCAGCATGGCAGAGGGGCACTGCAGAAGAGAAACAGTCCATGGCATGGCAAGCAGAAGGCATGGAGCAGCAAAAGCAGCAGGAAGAGAGTCCGCCTCTTCTTTTCATTCCAAACAGGCTATAAACCATTTGGGTGATGTCAGACACACCCAGGGTGGGCCTCTGTCTTCAGTAAATCCATTCAGCCACACCCAGAACTATGCTAATTCCAGTCAGTGGACTAATTTAATACATTACACCCTAATCCCTGTATCACATGCCCTCATCTAGCCAGCTCCAAAAGCCCCACCTATGAGCCCAGGAGGCTTTGGGGGACATATAGACACATGCCACAAGATACATATTTTACTTGCCCTTTCATCAGTTGATGGACATGTCAGTGTTACCACTTTTTGGTTATTACGCTAATACAACTATGAATTTACATGCTCTTGTGTGGGTGTATGTTTTCATTTCTCTTGGGCCAACATGATTTTTTAAAAATCTGTATCTAATTTTTCTACAGCAGACATTTATTACTTGTGCGATACAAAAGGCTTACAAATGGGACTCCAGAAGTTGGTCAACATGGGCCACTTGAGTTCCTGGGCTATGAAACCAAATCAAAGCTTGTAGATTCATTTTTTCATATCTGGGGGCACATCTAGGCATGCCCCCAGATGTGGGTTTGGATTTTTTAAAGTTAAAATTGATGTTTATGCATTTTAATGCTTTTGACTTACCATGTGCTTTATCGGCCATATCTCTCCAGTTTGCTATGATCTTCCCCATTCCCTGCAGTCTCACAAACAACCACTACGTCATGCATCTGGTCCCTGAAATCCGAAAGGATCCCACCCCTCCTTAAGCTAGGAATGAAGAGAAAGGTCAAGCAATAGGAGCCAAGCAATCACCCAGCCCAGCAGCTTTACACACGAACACCTGCTTTTGGGTCTCTCCTTCAGTAACCCACTGTTGTAAGCACAGTAAAGGATCAACAGTCTGGCTGAGAGAGTGCTAACTAGAGGCCTAGGGCCAGGTCAGGACCATGACAGGTCTGACTGGTAAGTGTTCAAAACAAATCCAAACAACACAACACCTCCACAACAGAAGACTGCACACCCAAAAGCAACATCTAAAACTCAAAACTCACTCACTAGCTACTCTTCAGAAATTGTACTGTAAGTCCGAGGAAGCAACAACACAATCAGCTGGGGCTGAGTAGGGGGACCGCCCTCTCCATCCCCAACTCTCAGGCCTCATTTTCTCACCCACTGACATCATAGTCCCAGTCCGTGGTGTTGTGGCTTCTATCTAGATGTCTCCCCAAAGCCTCATGTGTGCATAGGGGGCTGTTGGGAGGTGCTGGGATCATGGGGAGGTGACTGGATCATGGTTAGTCCACTGCTGAGTTCACAGCTAAATGTGATCTCCACAGGTTGGAGGAGGTGAGTCATTGGGGGCGTGGTCTGGGAAGGTCTGGCTCCCTTCCTCCTCCCTGATCTCTGTATCTGCTTCCTGCCTATCATACCACAAGTTGCTTCTCCCTTGCAATGCTCCTCTGCCATGCTGTCCTGCCTGGGTGCCAGTTGACTATGGACTGAAACCTCTGCAAACTGTGACCCAAAATAAATCTTTCCTTCTTAGAGTTGCAGGTGTCTCAGTGATGAGAGAAGTAACTAAGGCACATGGGTCCCAGTGCTCCAGTCCCAGAGAATGCGTCATCCCTACAGCCCGCCCCACCCTTATATGCTCTATGCCCAGCAAGCACTGGGTCTTTCATTCAAGACCCAATTGGCACTTCCTCTGAACCTCTCAGGACAGACCCACAGAAGGCCCCTGCCCTGAGGCATCCACAACCCCTCTCCTGTGTTCTTTCAGCCCTTGCACAAAATTGGGTCCTAGAAAGCTCCCAGCCTACAGGACAGCACCTGGCAATAACCTGCCTTGTACTTTCTGTTCCCAAAACATGGCACAAAGCACGTGTTCAATAAACATTTGCTGAACTTAACAGAGATGAGACACTTAGAAACAGGTTCCACCTATGCTGTCACTATAGTAGGGCTGAGTCCCTGTCTCAGCCCTACATGCTGATAAGAATGTTTCCAAACACTTGGTGCATACTCTATACTGGTTCCATCTATTGTCAAAATGGCCCCAGAAGCAAAGGGAACGTTGTAATATTGGCCACAGTGACAGCTACCACTTATGGAATCCTTCCTGTGACCATCAGACAACTTCCAGTGTCTCTCTAAATCCCAATTCTGATCCAAAACATCCATGAGACAAAACTTGTTAATTTGTTTTATTTCTATAGATAAGCAGATTGAGTCTCGGGATGAATGTGGAATAACCCAAATCCGTAGTTGGCTACTGTCCTAGTTCTTGACCCAGGTGATAGCTATACAATCTTGATAATTTTTCATTTCACCATGTATCTACTTTCACAGTTTTTAAAATTTGACAATAAAAGATTGGAGGAGAAGAATTAGGAGGTGAGGAACTAAATTAGCAGGTGGATGCAGGCCTCTTCCTTAAGGAAGTGCAGTTGGCCAGGCTCTAGGCCCTGGTGCCAGCTGAGGAAAGTGGGAGCCACTGCCAGGCTGCTGGGGTGGAGGTCGGACGTGTCCTGAAGACGGCATCCACAGGAAGGGCGTGGAAGAGGAGAGGAACTGGTCGGGGAGGCCTGTGGCACTAAGGTAATTGGGTGGAGCACATCAGCGTGCGAGCTTCAAGTACACAGAGAAAACAAAATCACAGAACAAATCCCATACATTCATCAATGTTCCCCCAGAAAACAATCTGATGTTAAGAGAATCTCTCTAACAACATCAAACTATGTTTATAGAAAATATACTTTGCAACATTTGGTCAACAGGTACAAAATACAGTTAGATGAGAGGGTAAGTTCTAGTGTTCTATTGCATGGCAATAGTTTTGTTTGTTTTGTTTTTTTTTTTGAGACAGGGTCTCACTCTGCAGTTCAGGCTGGCCTTGAGCTCACTTTGTAGCCCAGGATGGTCTCGAACTTCCAACGATCCTTCTGCCTCAGCCTCCTGAGTGCTGGGACTACAGGCTTGCACCACTATGCCCAGCAGCAATAGTTAATAATAGTAATAACAATACTGTTAATTATTAACAGTAGTTAATAATAAAGTATCTTATATCCCAAATAACTAAAAGACAAGATTTTAAATGTTCTTGCCACAAATATTTGAATAGGTTAATTATCTTAATTTGATCATTTTACAAAGTATACATATATGGAAATATCACCTACTATACTTTAAAATATGTACAATCATGTGTCAATTAAAAAGAAATGTATCATGTACTTTCCATTGCCATCCATATTTTTTTTGAGGCAGGGTCTCAGTATGTAGTTCAGGCCGGCCTTCACTTAACACTACACCTCAGCCTCCTAAGTACTGGGATTACAAGTGTGTGCACCACGCCTGGGTGTTGTCCATATTTATGTCAACTTGGGTTCTGGGAAAGACCCATTTTTCTAAATCTATAGCAGTCATACCCTACTTCACCTGGGTCTGTTGAGGACAAAAGTTCTCCCAGCCAAGGGCAGCCTTCCATGCCAACTTGATGAGCTGTGCTTGGCCCTAAGGACCTCAATTCTCCCCTCTCCATGGGCAGATGACATGAGCTGCCATCAACAGGTACCATCCCCTCCCAGGTTCACACAATGCACGGCCTCACAACCGCTGCAACTGGGATACCAGTGAACAAGACAACTGCCTTGACCTTGCCTCCAGAGTGTGTACTTCAGCTGGGGAGGTTTGCGAGGCTCACATAAGCTGCCTGTCCATGACACTATGTGCTGAAGTCACAACTCTTAAAAAGTTTCTCGCAGATAACAAAAACTTTACCCAAAAAATAACTGAGGCATTAAAACTACTCACAAAAACTTAGCCAAAATACTCGCAGGTATCTTGAGGTTTTAAACGATATGTCAATTTAAGTTATCATCACATTTTGCTTAGCTTTCAATGCTAAGACAAATTAATTTTTCTAGATCAGTAATTTTTTCATTTTTTTTCCTCCCTAAAAAAGTCTTGCATCCAGTAAGACAACACAGGGTCAAGAAGAGCTTCCTCCCTCTTCAGTTTAACAATATTCCTAGGCTTTTCAAGTTATGGGTAATTTTACTCATATCTTCAGTTCTTCCAGAATCAATATTTTTGCAAGTGGCTTCGTATCTAGACTGGATAACATGCAAATGTATTAATTCTATTTTCTTTCACATATTCTGCAAATACCAACATACTAATCTTCTCAGATGATCGTAACATGGAAAAGGATCTTTAAAAGGGCCAAGAGAATTTTGCTATGATGTGCATACCATTAGTTAAGATTCATAGTATTCTGTAGTTTTACTCAACCCAGTAAATAAACTTAAAACTTCACAGCTGTGTTATAAGAAAATATTTAAGTGTCAAAATAAAGAAGAACCAAACATGATGTGGAAAGATTCTAATTTCTCTTGGAGCCAAGCACCATCCAATCCTTTCACAGTCAAAGTGGTGACTTGTACTCACTGTCAGGTTCCAGTTGATCTGTGGGATCCTCATATGAAGATTGAGGCTGAACAGAATCAGCAAGACTCCAGTCACCACAAATGCACTACAGCTTACAAATTCGAAGAAGTAGAGACCTTCACATGGGAAGCAATTCATGATGGTCTCGATGCAGATGAATGCAATCAGGGCCAGAATCTAGGAAGAAAATTGAAAACACATGCATGTGTATATTTAGTACACATCTGTGGACATATCTCCCTGCCATACTAAGACTGAACAACAGCAATGAACATCTGCCCAGTCTTCCTCTGGGAGTAGGAGTGTAACTGTTAGAAATACGACCTGCTTCAACTCATACGTGGTATCAGGTAAGGGGCCTGAATGAAAGGACCACATTCCCAATGCCAACAGTGAAGTCCTCACTGCTGTGCTGGTGTGGAGCAGCCCAGTGCAAGCTCCTGACCCTTAGAAAGGAGGAATAGCTCTGTGGGATTTTAGCTTCTCTGCCACCATCATTTCCTGTATTTCTTATGCCTGTTTCTTAGTTATGGTTTCTACCCCAACTATGCCCAACACTGAGAAGGTACAATCTTATGGCACCTGCAACCTCAATGGTTCACTCTTGAGTCATACAGACCAGCTGGGACCCCAGTGGCTTTCAAAGAATAATTGGTACATTCCTCTCTTCCTGGACTTAGAAGTCCCTGAAAAGAAGAGGCCTGCCTTATTAATTCAAATGCTTGGGAAAGTTTATCACTGGACTTCATCTGGAGAAGATGGACTGGATGCTTATAAAGTAACATTTAAAAATCCATCAATAATAGAACCAGCCTTTCTCAAAAAGCTAACATTCAAAGCAATATGTCCCAAGAGTTTGGAGATCACAAAAGTAAACAGATTATCAATGGAAATTACCAATGGGCAAGTGAACTTTTAAAGAAGTCAGAAGAAAGAAGTGGTGCCAGGCTAAAGTAATGGCCAGATGATCCAGGGAAGGTATCATGGCTTGTGTCTAGATGTCCCCCCAAAGCCTCATGCGGTCGTGGGGCAGGCTTCTAGAGTTTTTGATTGATCCACGGTCCAATGCTGGGATTATGGGTGTGAGTGCTACACCCGCAGCCTGCGCACAGTATAACGGAGGGAAAGAGGCTAGTTCTCCCAGCCGCGCCCCCCTTTGCTTTTGCTGCTTTTGCTGTTTTCTGCAGCCATGAACTGTTGCCCTCTGCCATATGCCACTCTGCCCGGGAGCCAGCTGAGTATGGACTGAAACCTCCACAAATTGTGAGCTAAATAAACATTTTCTCCCTTAATTTTGGGTGTTCGGTATTTTGTCTTAGCAACGAGAGAAAAGTAACTAAGACAGAAGGCCAGGTGGTCTTAAGTACTCACAGCAAGATCAGTCCTGGGGCTCCTTGGTTTTGGCTCTGTTCCCAAGCATCTCGTAACCCACCCTGTGTCAGACCTGTGCCACCATGTCCAGGCTGGACCCCATCTTGCAAGGTCAAGGAAGCGGAGGCAGGCAGTTCTGAGCTCCTCCTAGCCCAGCAGCACAGCATCCCAGGGAGCTTGTGAGAAACACAGATGCTCTGCCTCCCTCTTTGCCTTGCAGACTCAGAATCTGCTCTCTGACAAGATCCCTCAATGATTAATGTGGGAGAGGCAGCCAACGCACAAGCCAATCTGGGGTCCTCTCCCAGGACAGACCATGTATCTTTCTGTGTCCTGAGTCCTGGGGATGGGGCAGGCCACCCCCTCTACTCCTAAGGCATCAAGCATAATAATTTGCACATAGCTGGCCAATGGGGGGGCAAGGAGCCACAAAAGCCCCACACCTACCACTCCCAGCAGACAAGTCAGGGTCTTGACATGAAAGGAAGGGTGGTCCTGACTTTCCCACTGTAGCACTTTCCTACTAAGTCAACTGCATTGAAAGTATGGGTCTTGGTCAAAGGATACAAAGTTTCAGTTAGGAAGAATTAGTTTAAGAGATCCACTGTACAACATGATGACTACAGTTTCTATAATATGTATTCTATTTTGAAAATGGCTAAGAGAACAGTTTACATTTCCTCACTAGAAAAAACTAAGAGAATGTATGTGTTCATTAGCTTGGCTGCACCATTCCGCAACATACACATATGTACTTCAAAATGTAAGCTGTACATAAAAAATGTATAATTTTTATTTGTCCACTAGAAAATAAAAGATATGGGTCTCTTAGGCACACATTTTATGCTTTTCCTAACAACTCTCCTTATAAGTCTCTGCAGAATTGTAGGCTTTAATTCTCCATCTGAATTACATGCCTAACTCACAATCAATTCACAAAAGAAACAGTTCATATAAGGGAAACTTCTAAACTTCCTTTTTTTTTTTTCTTTCACCCCTGTAATCGGATCTACTAATCCTGGGCAAAAAATAACACAGTGCTGATGAGTTACAAATGTTTTTGGTATGCTAACTTCAACCATATTTGTGTGGGAAGGTAACACCTACATTCTTAAATATTAAAGTAAAAATGGCTTCAAGAATATGCAAATCTGAAAAAAAAAAGCATATGCAAATCCGATAGGCTATTCATTACAGAAGTGAACCAAACAGAGAAAACTTCCTGCTTTCTAGCTCATAGTTTAATGTATGTTTTAAAAATTAAATTACAGTTAGCAACTAGAACAAAGGAGAAAAATTATAGCAAGGAAGGCGGACAAAGCATAATGAAGCCAGAGTGTGCAGACTGGACTTCAGGCCCTGGAAAGCTGGCTGGCAAGGACCAGCTGAGGAAGAGCTGCAGGGAGCAGGGAAGGTTGCCTGGAGGAGAGACATGTGAGGCAGGAGCAGCAGCAAGGTCCTGGGTTGGGGCAGGAAGAAGCAGGGAGGATCCTGGGGGGAGAAGCTGGGTGCACAGAGCCTGAAGTGCAGTAGAGGAGGTACAACAGGCCTGAGGCTGTGTCCCTGAGGGAAGCACTAGAGAAGCATGATCTGATTTAGATTTTCAAAGGGCCACCAGCTACTGCAGGAGAGGAGACCACAGGGAGGCCTCAGGCGTAGGCTGGAGAAGAGCTCCGTAATGCAACTTAGGGGAGGATGCAGAGTGGTGGCAGGGCAGATGGTGAGAAGTGTTGAAGGCAGAGTCCACAGGATTTGTTGGCAGATGATGGGATGGGAAAGATAGTGGAAAGCGAGCATGATTCTCAGATTTCTACCTGGAGCACTGTACTGCCATACTGGCATGAGGAAGCGGACAACGGAACAGTTACAGACAGGGATCAGGAGACCACGTGGGCCACATTAAGGCTGAAATGGCTATGGGTTTCACGGGGGTCGGGAGTGGAGGCGGTTGTTGGTCAGACAAGTGGGTTTTGAGTTTTGAGGGGAAGGTGGGATAGAGATGTAGTAGGAGTGAAAGAGAAGAGTTAAGGGCTAATTTTGGAGCACTCAATCATGTCCAGGAGAGAAAGAACCACACAACTGAAATTTCAGTTCCCCATACTCCTAGGTATGGGAGTCAGCCTCCCAGAGGGCTCCCACCATCCATCCCTCTGGGGGACTCTTATCCTTGCGACACAGTGAATATGGTTGACCTGTTAGTGTTGCAGAAATAACATCACAGGTAAGTCAGAAAAGTCACTGTGGTCCCCACCTTGCTGTCTCTCTGGGATCACTGGCTCTGGGCAAAATGAGCTGCCATGTCAGGACACACAGCAGCCCTAGGGAGAGGCCCAGCTGCCAAAGAAGAAAATCCTCCTGCCAATAAACATAGGAATGAGCCACCTTGGAAGCGGGTCCTCCTGCCCGAGGTGAGCTTGCAGAGGACACTGACCCAGGCAACAGCCTGACTGCAACTGTGTGAGAACCAGAGCAAAGGCACTCTAGGACTCCTGCCCCTCAGAAACTGAAGCATAATAAAGGTTTGCTATTTCCAGCTACTAAATTTGGGGTAATTAGTTATGTGGCAATTGGTAATACGTTAGAGTGGGACCTCACTTCTACTACAGTTGCTAATATTAGTAACAAGTAACTATTATTAACTGATTACCTATAAAGCAAGCACCACATATACATTGCTCATTCCTTACCATTTATTCCCCAGACACAACCCTATGAGGTAGACATTGGCTCCATCTTGCATATAAGAAAATAGAGGCCCTTTGATGTAGACACATAGCAAGAGGCTGCGCTGGGATTTTGATCCTCAGTTGCTCTAGTCCTTACTGAGCCACCATACCATTTTCCTATTGGTTCCTAATCCAGAAAACATCTTTGCATACCTCAAATGGTAATTATGCTCAAAATAAAAAGATAGACAAAAAGTATCTATAAATTATAACTTGTATACAAAATAAGGACTGTTATATCTATCTATATATGTATATATAGTTTTTAAACCATAAAAGTGTATTAAACATCACCTTTTTTCTTTTTCTTCTAAATAGTATCCACAGGCATTTCCACAAATATAGAACCATACATGTTCTTTTTAATGATTATGTAGTATTTGTATGTAAAGATATATAAATATACATACCTATACATACTATAATTTAATCAACTCCTGTAACAGGTATTTAGATGGTTTTTAATACTCTGTCATCACAAGCATGACATCTGGCACAGCAAAATTGCCAAAATGTCTCCAACACAGTGAAATCTAATAATCACTGCTGAGGTAACCCTACCTATTAACCAATAAGAAAAAGGACTCAGTCAAAGTTATAATGGAAGCCAACAACTTCAAGACAACCAAGGAATCAAAAGTAATTCAATTTATCGAAAATTTGCAGAGGACAAAAAAAAACATGGAAACATTGTACAGAGATTATCTTGGTTACTTTTCTCTCCTTGCTGAGACAAAAATATCTGACACCCAGAATTAAGAAAGGAAAAGTTTATTTAGCTTACAGTTGGTGGAGGTTTCAGTCCATACTTGGCTGGCTCCAAGGCAGAGTGGCACATGGCAGAGGGCAACAGCTCATGGCAGCGGGAAAACAGCAAAAGCAACAAGAGCAAAAGGGAGGAGTGGTAGCAAGCAGCCTCTTTCCATCCCTTACTTTGTAATGCAAACTACCCGCCCCAGGGTAGGTGTAGCACTCACATCCATAATTCCAACACTGGACCATGAATCAATCATAAACTCTAGAAGTCCACCCCATGACTGCACGAGGGTTTAGCAGCACACCCAGACACAAACCATAACA